TTCGCTCGGCTTTGCAGCAGATATCAAGTTTAGCTATAGCTGCCGCCGCCATCTAGATGAGCGCATTTCTATGAATTCTCCGGTCGGTCTCTTAAAAGCAAAATACAACTTAAACCAAAATATAAATAAAAACTTGCTAATTGAGTGGCCCAGTCCACAACGAAACTCAGCAAAAAGGTTCGCAAATGTTTGCGCACACAAGAAATGCGACTGTTTAAAATGCTATGCTCAACGCAAGAGCTTTTAACTAATAACTATGGTTAATTTGCATATGTATAGCTGTATATTTTGATAATAATCCGATTTTGAGTTGATTGAGTTGAGAGGAGGGGTGATCCACATAGAGATATTTACATAATTCACTTATTCTACATTAAATGTGTATTATTTTACAACTCCTTCCACTTTATTTACAAATTACCGTTCGATATAATATGTAACGTAAATAGTTAGTCGGAATTTTGCCCGCCCACTTTCCCTATCGAAGCCAGCCAACCATTAAGCCTAAGCCCAACAAAGTTTAGCTCACAAACTTTCGCTTGTCAACGTTTGAGTGTTCATTGATCAGTGATCAGTGATCAGTGATCAGTGATCAGTGATCAACGATCAGCATCGATCAATGCCCTTTCAACATATAATAAATTTAGACAATGCCATTGTTTATACGCCTAGCCAATTGCTTCATTTTGCGGAACAGTTATTTAATGTTCAATCAAATGAAATGCAGCCAGCTCCTGGCCATAGTCAACTTCCGATTGCAGTGGGCTAACGCTTGGCTGCCCCTTGTTTTGGTAGCGCCCATATTGGCGACTTGGCCAACATGAAAACGCATAAACGTAAACAACATCAAATCAAAACAACCAACGGTCGCCATGACAAAAGATTTTAATTGAATCTGAAAAAAAAAAAAAACGCAATGCGACGTGCACAGTTGCCCTGTTCCCCTCATCCCTGTGCCCAGTCCCTCTCCCACCCTCTCTCTCTCTAGGAGAGTAGAGGGTTTGCCAGCTGGGCCCACGCGTTCCGCATAACAATTGTCAACAAATTTATGAGCACAACGTCAGCCCAACTACTCGCTTATAAGCATTGGCTCTGGGCCCGCTTGGTATTGATATTAAATTAAAATTCAAAAGAGCTCATTGCGCACATTGTATATCTCTTGATTTGTTTTCCACCATTTTTTTTTTTCTTTTTTTTTTTAATTTTAATTAAAAAAATCGTAAATCGTAAAAAAAAAGAGAAAAACTAAATTTGTTTACGCAGCATTTGATGAAGCGTTCGATCGCAGTGCAATTAAGCATTGCTTTGTTTGCATTTGGAGCCAAGTTAATACTGATTCTGTTCGATCCGCTGCGCAAACAACGCCCTAAAAATGCTTAAATAGAGAACGGCAGAGCATTCCACAAGACGGACGCTCAACAGGCTAGAAACCATTTCCAATCATCTAAATTTAGACGAAATGAAACACATTTCAAATTTTTCTACAACAACAACAACACCAACAAAAAAAAAAAAACTGTCGAGCGCTGAAAATCTAGCTGCGTGTATGTATCTGAAAGAGAAATGCCAAGTATATATATATATATACATGAATCTGAAGCATACGTGCATATAAGTTTTCGTCTACATATATGTATACATTTATATATATATAAATATATATAGCTTTGTGACTGTATAAACATTTGTGCGCTTTAGTCCGTATAGCGGGTGTAGTCCGTACGTAATTTGATTTTTTTTTTCCTTTCTTTTTAAATGCACAACGCAAGATACACACAGAGTTTGTGTATCTATAAGATCTTGGCCGCTGCGTTGCGTACCCGTGATATAAAGAAAGAGCAACAACAGAATATCTGATATCTGAGTTGTTGTTGTGCTTATTTCGGCCAATGCGTGGGCTAGAAAAACACCTTTAAATAATTATTTGATTAGAGCTGCGATCCGTCGCCTTTGATGTGGACACACAATCATCTGCAGATACAGCCACAACTTGAAGATACAGATAGAGGGAGACACACACAGATACAGATGTAGATACAGATGTAGATACAGAAACAGATGAGGAGGCCTTGCAGCTTATGAGTCTTATATAGCGTCAGACGTCATGCGGAAGATAGTCTCGGATTTATATTTAGTATATTTATACCTTATACATATTTCTCAGATAGTACGTGCAGTTATGCTTGGACTGCGTCTCCGTAATCCGAACCCGAGCACACGGTGCACACCGTCGTCGTTGACGTCGTCTTTCCACAGTCTAGGCACACTTCAACTGTGCAAATTGCTCGGCATGCATCAAGATACAAATACGCTAGAAACGTGCTTCGACGGCATGTGTCATCTGTATCTAACAGATACAGATACAGATACAAATGCAGAACAGATACAGGTACAGATACAGATATAATACACGCCGATGCCGCTGTGAATAATATCTTCTTCAGATTTATACTTTTTTTTTGTTGCTCGTTCGCTTCTTAATTTTTTTTTATTTATTTAATTTTGTTGTTTTCTTTTTTTTTTAGACATGAGTCACTACCCCCAACAAAAGTGAACAACGAAATTTATGTCAGCAGTGCCAAAAGCGACGAGCGAATGAAGACAATAAAAACAAGCGGCAAACGAAATAAATAAGAAATCCAAATGTAAAAGAGGCAAACGTAAGAGGCGAAAAATAACAAAAGCTAAGCCAAATGCTCACATATTCATGCAACCTGTGTGTCGGTGTATGTGAGGGTGGAGGTATGTACATATGTATATCTGTGGGGGGCACATTCAACATATTTGTGCAGCTCAAATGAGCGGCCAACAGGTTGCAATAGCTATGAATTCTATATGCTATATGGCAGGGGATTCCGAATATTCGCTTTTACAAATAATCAAATCAAAGAAGAAAGCAATCTCAATGGCAGCATATCTAATAATAAAATCATATTCAAATTTCAATCCGTTCTGAGTAAACTAACAGCAGAATTTGAGGCGCACACAAGAAAAATTCCTGAAGATATCTAGATATAATACGCATAGACAACAACAATTTGAAGAATGCTGAAACAGGATTCTTTTTACAACGAGGAAAGTCCGGCAAGCCCGTATTCATGCAGTACAGACACTCAGCCACAAACTCGACAACAACAACAACAACAATAACAAAACTAACCCAACGCTGCTACGACAGCAATTGAAAAGAGAGAAAGTAGCCAAAAACGACAGTAAAAATCCAACGAAAACCCAAAACTTCTGGCAAAAAGTTGAAAAGTCGTAAGCCGTGCACAATGCGACCCACAGCCCAGGTCCGATGTCCGGGTGTGAGACCATAAGTTGGCCAAATAGTTCAAGCCGCACGCCCACACTCCCACAGCTGTTGATAAGCGGGCGGGTGGGTGGTTGGCTGTCGCCCGCAGTAAGCAGCAAGCAGGTAAAAAACAAAACCAAAACCTAAAAAGAAAAAAACAAAACAAAACACATTTTCTCGTAGCTGGTCCAACGAGTTTTACAAATTGTCAACGCTTTGCTTTTGGAAAATACAATTTGTAGACACAAAAACAAAACTAGTTTGCAGTGCTTCGAGTATCTACGTATCTGTGGCTGTATCTGTATCTGTGCAACATAATTTTGTCATTACCAAGAGGCGACACATACGACACACATATACATACATATATGCATATGGCCAACAGATGTTGGGCAAACAACAACAACAGCAGCAGCAAATTGAAACCAAAGCAAGCGTTTGCGATCTGAGAAAACGAGCTGCAGCGTTGCCAACTTATGAGAATCAACAAATGAAGCTAGCTAGAAAGGTGGGTTACAAAGGTAACAAGATATTATCTATTTATATACATAAGATATCGATTTTCAAAGTTCCTTTGTTTTTTGTTTTTGTATATGACGGAATTTATTCAATCTATTACCTAATAATTAGAGTACATACTCTAATTGTATATTATCTTTGTTTACTTTTCACAAAGAACTTTAATATCAATTAAATTTAAGGTAAAGTACTGAACATTAACGTAAAGTATTTTAATTATCAGCTCGTAAAGTGCTAATTGTTAACTAATTTAACTTGGATTTGATTTAACTAATTTAAATTTGAATTAAATTAAGACATAAACCAATTATTTGTTAATAACAGCTAAAAACCGCTAAATATAACATTTTAGTGCACTTCGCAACACTGACAAGCTGTGAACATTCAGGTAGTCGTCGCACAGTTATGTTTTGTGTGATCCTGTATGCGTGTGCCACGCCCCCAGCGGCTGCTCTTGTTGTTTGTCGTTGTGTTGATTTTTCGGCGCTCATTGTTAATTTTCTTGAGACTATTTGCCGAGGCAAAGGCGTGGGCATGTGACTGAGGCACTCCGTCAGGCGATCTGTTTAAACAGGCGCGGCTCATTCAAATACAGTTGCATATTCAGATACAGACACCAATACAGATACAGATACAGCTACATTTGTGAGCACTCGGAAGTGATCAAGGCTTCTGCAACTGTGTATTGCATCTTCTCAAACAAGCGGGGGTCCCGTTGCAAGCCAACGAAGATGTAAGCAACAACATAACAAACAACAGCGAAAACAAGAGACAAGAGTGGACTCTTCAAAGAGCGACCAAGAGAGCGTGCAGACAGAAACGAACGGGCACACAAAAAGGAAATAACTAAAAATAACAAACAACTGACGTTGACTGCGACGGCGGCTGCGGCTGCTACGTTGGCAGCGTTGACTTTGGGTTCTCCGGCAAGGTGGAATGAACTCAAGATCAGGGCACAGAGGCGACTTTAAATATAGAAAGAGAGGGAGCAACAAAGTTGCGCTTATTGGGGTAAAGCCGATCTGGCCCCATAGTATATACACACACATGTATGTAAATATATAACTAAATAATGAAGTATTTCTTTTACTGAAGATCCACTCAAGTTCCTAGATCGTACAGTTGGACGCGTAGTATTTTTAAATTCATATATTTATTTATTTATCCGTATGTATATATAGCTTACCTTCGTCCAGTAGTCGCTCCACATGCGTAAAGACATTGGGAAATGCGGCCAACTGTTTGCGATCCTTCAGCAATTGTGCCAAATAGTCGGCAATGCTTTGTGTGCTCTGTTGTTGTTGTTGGGGCGTCATGTGCTGCGGCTGTGGCACCACTTGCGTGGGCTGTTGTTGTTGTTGTTGCTGCTGCTGAGCAACGGCAGCGGCTGCGGCAGCCGCAACAGCAGCGGCGGCCTGTTGTTGCAATTGCTGTTGCACAACGGTCTTGTTCTCACAGACACTCATTTTGTTGTAGTATGTGTATATATTTCTATATGTGTGTGGGTGAGCGTGTTTTGTTTAAGCTTTTACAATTGTTTACTTAGTTGCACAATGCTTTTTTAATATTTTTTTTGTTGCCGAGATTCTTTTATGATGCGTATTAAACTCTTTCGACTGTTTCTCTATGTTCGGGTTTTCGGGTATTGCACAATTGCTAAACAAAAGGCTATTATATATTTGTTGCTTTAACACTCTTTGATATCTTGTTGCTTTTGAATGTTTCAATGTTACTGTAAAATGGAATAAACACAATTTTATTTGATTTCAAGTTATATTTTCAATAACAGAAACAGATTAAAAACAACTCCACCCAAAAAAAGTTTCAGAATTTCGAGAGAAACAAAACGAAAACACAACAACAACGTCAGCAGCGCAGAAGCAGCCAGAGAGAGAGCGCGCGAGAGAGCAAGTCTAAAATGAAGACTGAAAAAATTCCTCAACGCAGCAGCGCGGCTGTTTCAGATCGGTGATCGGCAAGAAGAAGAGAGGACAAACGGCGCAGTCGCCGTCTACGTTTCGCCAGTACACACACAAAAGCAGTAACTATACGTAGAAACAGTCAATTTGTGTGCCTTTATGCATGCAATAGTGTTTGTGAGCGTAATCGTGAGCAACGGAGATGAATGAAAGCAGAATGTCAAAATAGCTGCTTATTTGTTCGCTCTCTTTCGCGGTCCCTCTCTTATTCTCATTCCGTGGCTGCAGCAGCCCCAAGAAGTAAAACAAAAAATTATTTTTTATATGCAAATTAACATATTTCTTATTTGCAGGAAATTAGAATGCCATATTTGAGTATACGCACAATTGCACAAGTTTCGAATATTCAACGTGCTTATTGTAGCAAAGAATAGCAAACAATGATTTGGATTATAGCTAAAACGCTGAAAATTTCGCATGAAAAATGCACAGTTTACTGTTGCTGCTGATTATGTTTTATTTGTTGTTGTTGCCCGTTTTATGAGTTTGTTGCTTTCAGTTTCACATTAATACTGTTTTCAAATTTGCATACATTTGAATTTGTTGTACACTGCGTTCATTAACTAATAAAGAATTCCTTTTCTTATATATTTTTTTTTTGTTTATTTAAAAATGTATTCGAGTCGGGTAAAAGGAAAACGCACGGATCTCGCCTCTACTTGAACGATTCTTCCTACTTCTAAAACTGAACCGCACGCAAAGACAGAGAAAAAGAAACTGAACGCAAAGCGTATTGACGAAGAAAATGAGGAGAGCCAACATGCCATTTTGAGTATAACAGCGAATTAACAGCAGTGAAGATCGTTTAACAGCGTTGCCACTGTTAACACGCTGCGCAGCTGTTCGTTTTAATTGAAAAAATATTGCTTAAAATTACAAGTTTTCGATAAATATAGAACTAAATACAATGAAATTGATTAAATAAAATATATTCCTATTTATCTTATGCTTTTTGATAAGCGAGAAATGGATCGTGAGCATTATAATATTTAATATTGTGTTAGGTGGCAGCGCTAAACCTGCCAATCATGCACTGTTAACAGCAGCCATCCCTTTCGCACTCGCTTGTTAAGCCAATTTGGCGCGTTGGCGTCAATTTGAATTATGAAAACACTCTGAGAGCGGAGGCATTAATTACGTACGGAAATTGTTAGAAGGCAACGACTACGAACGCTTAGAATCAACTACAGCACTTTGTTAGATATGTGGGCTTTTGGCCAAAAGTCTATGCAAATTACCAAACGTACCAAATGGAAATTGGCCGGGCTAAAATGCCAAATGTTGGTGTTAAAACTCGCCTTTGAGCCAAAATGCTCAAAATAGTTAAAATGTATGTGGGAAAATTGGAATTCGCATGCGATGCCAGCGACGCACCATATAAGTGTCCCTGGACAGCAACAACTTTTACTTTCCATTGCAAATGCGTTTCGGTGCTAGGCATTTCAGTATGCTTTTTTTTTCAATTTTTTCTTTACGCCTGGCTTCCGTGTATTCCGCAAAAAGCCATCAGCAGCAGCGACCGCTTTACACATACACAGCACCCGCATGCACTTAAAAAGAGACGTGAAAGTTTTCAATCAATGGAAGTGGAAAGCAGGCGCCCACCATCGACCTGGCCAACCACTCGCTGTGGTGCACCTTGGCATGGTCATATGTGTGTGTGTGTGTGTGTGTGCGAGTGTGTAGGCCGATCAAACTGATATTTATATACATATACACATACATACAGTGACATTTATACATTTTATTGCCATTGAATATGTGTCAGAGATTTAGGCATTGTATTATTATGGTTGTACGATTTAATGCCCAGCAAAGCCTATTTTGATGCTGACACCCACACACACACACACAAACATATATACATATGTAGATCCTCTGAGATAAACAAGTTGGTTAAAAAAGCAACACATCATTTTATTCGTGGGCTGCTAAGCTTTAGGGCTTTGCGTGTAGGCCATTTCTGGTAGCACTTTCAATTTTGAACAAATGTTGCATGACGATTTCGTCACTGGCACTGATTGCCACACGAAACTGTGAAAGAGCCACACACGTTAGCCAAGGCTCAGCCCCAGCCAAGCACTTTGGCTCGAGTTATTAGATTTCGCATGCGAACAAAATTGCATTTAAAATGCAGATCAAATAGTCCAGTTACTCTAGGCTAGCCGGTGCTAAAAGCCCAGAGGCAGAGTTAACAACGTTTTACGCAGCTTTACGCTTCAATAGAAGAGCTCACAGTGCACAGTGTGGCAAATGTGTGAAAGATTGACACAAAATGTGCAATGGCTATAACGATGTATAGGAATCAAACAAACTTGGTGTATATTATTATTATGAATATAAATCCAATCAACATATTAAAAATTCATATGATTTTCATCACACTGTGCGCTAAATTGCCCACAGCACACATCAGTGGCCATATTTCACACTCAACTTGGTGTGCAGCATCCCAGGAGTCCCGCCGCCTCCCTTATGCAGGCCCACTTTTTGCGACTATTGTGACAGAATGGGGGGCTGCTATGGGTGTGGCTGTGGCTCCTGCTGCCGTTGCTGACAAAATGATGCACCTGCTGTCTGATTGGTCGGCAGCGCAGCGCACGCTTTGTATAATTATTAGCGGTATGCTTATTGAAAGGCAACCGGACTCCATTGGCCTTTTCATTAAGCCAACAACTGTTGCGTGGGCGTCAGCGCGAATTGAATGAAATGAAACCGCAAACATGGTCGACACACGTTTGTAGTTGAATCGCATGAATATTATTTACACAGTAGTTAATTCATGCATTCTGTTTATGATTTTCCTACACAAAACAGACTGCATTGTAGATAAGTATAATGCAAGAATAAATTTTGTAGTATATATGTAATGTATCTTATTTAGGTTTTTCAATAATTTTCTGACAATTCACTGTTATAACAGTTTCATTCATAATCAAATCAATTTAGCTATAAAATCTTAGCTTTTCAACTGAAGCTAAAGTACTTTGTGATAAAATATAATAATCAAATATAAATTTGATAAGTAATTTATGGCAAGCGTTTGTTACGCGATTCTATAACAATAGTGTCTATCTATAAAGTTTTTTTTTTAAGTTTTATTTTACATATGCAAATTCGGTATTACAGATTTTACATTATTTTTTTGTATAGATTAAATCTTATAGAATAAATTATAAATAATTATTATTAATTATTGATATTTTAAATAATTATTCATATATTAATTAATATATATATTATATTATTATATATATTATATTAATTATTGATATTAATAATTATTGATATTTTGATTAATGAATATGCATTAAATTCTTTATTGCTATATTTATATTTTAATATATTTTTTTACATATATACATACATACATATTCAATATCATCAGCAAAAATTGGTTGAGAGTTTCATTTCCACTCAATATAAAATAATTCGCAATTGCTTTGAGTTTTTGCCATTTTTGCCCACTGTACCACTTAATTTGGCAATGGCTCGCCTCAGTGGCCATATTTCACGGCTGCTTTGTATGCGACATCCTTGCCAGCCGCTCACGTTCATAATGCATGCACACGTTGTAGGCCTAGCCCCGGACTGAGGACCGTTGCATGGATGCTGTCCGGGCAAAGTGATACACCTGTTCTATGGGACGCCCAGTATGCGAGGTACGCCCGCCATGCCACATCTATGGCTTTGTATAATTAGTAGCGGCATGCTGGCTAAAAGGCAACTCGGCTCTATTGGGGTTTTTATTACGCGAACAACTGTTGCGTGGGCGCCAGCATTGAGTGAGCCAAATGAAACAACCACTACACCCACACGCACACACACACACACTATGCTCACCTGTCAACTGCCAACTGCTCTGGACAGGCTGCCGCAAGAGTTGAGCTTTTAAATCTACAATTGGCTGACTATGAATGAGATGTTCACTGAAGAATAATCAACTAATGAATCAGAGGCGGTTAGATAACGCCTCTTGATGATATTGTTAACCTGGGCAGGCAGACGATTCATAGATGTATGCGAGATCTGGTTGATGATATTATTAACGTAAGCACAAGCATTTCTTATGGGTATATTTATTTATGTATTATATGTATATAGATATCACATGTGAAAATTGGGTAACAAATGAACTTGTCTTTTGTGTAGTCTGAGAATTAGTATTCTGAAAATATTTGTATTAAATTTCAACAATTCATTACTTAGTCTGATGAATATTAAATACTAATTTTATTAAAGCAACGCGAGCAGCAACAAGTTGAAACACTAAACTTTTCATTCATAAAATATAATTGGATTTTATGCCCTGCAATGCATCTAAGAGGGCATATAAGTGCAGAAAAACTGAATGGAGTATGTGATGGAAGTATACTTAAGAGTTAAAATAGGGAAAATAGGACAAACAAATCCAGAGGCAGAGAAAAAGAGAGAGAGAGAGAGAGAGATAGTGAATTAGATATACAGATATAAATAATAGATGAGAGAGAGTATAACTCCATATAGGTACTCACCTATCTGCAAAGCTTCTTTATCTCTCAAAAATTATCATTTTCAATTTATATTCCCTGAACGATTTGAAGCCAGGCTTTTCAATACAAATTTATTCCTCTATTTTAGATACTAATAACTAATTTATTGACCGAGTTTAAGTATCTGTTACAGTTTTGGGCACTTACAAACTTGTACAATAGACTTTTAACCTATTCATTCCGCTGCCAACAAACAAAACACAGATTCCATTCAAACTTTTCAACTCAACTCAACTTGAAGCAAAACTTTTGCCACGAAAGTATGTATGAGCAGCAGCTGAACCTTCTGAAAGTATTTACAGTTGACTAGAGTATGTTAATTGAATAATCCACAAGTGGCCTAAACTATTCGGAAATTCATTTACAGGGTATCTGCTAGGAGAGCAGCTGCAGCTGAAACCGCTTCATTTAGCAAGCTGGCGGCACTAGTGCATTCATGAATGAAGCTGCTCGACTGCTACTGGCTGCAGCATCAGCATCAGCATTAGCATTGGCATTAGCATTAGCCGATTTCATTCACAAGCTCTGCTTGGCTGGCTTAGCTGTGGCAAGTGCTGTCTCGCAGGCGTCGCGTCGGTTGCATGCAGCCAACTGATGTAGGCGGTGGGGGCGTGTGCGCAGTTTTGTCGCCCACGCCCAGGCTTGAACGGAATATAAAAACTAGTATTAATTTGTTGCTGGCTTTCTGGCTGTCTCTCTGGCTGTCTGTCTGTCTGTCCGGTTGGCTGCTTCGATTAGGCAGCGCATTAATTTCTTGATGCCGTCTTTTGGACAGCGAGTGGCTCAGCCTGGGTGAAGCGGGTGTCGTGGGTTAAACGAGTTTTATTAGAAAATTGTTTACAGCTCTTCAATGCTATTTCAATTGATGGCCGCATTCGCTGTGGGCGCCAACAAGACGACGCACCGAACGTTGCGCAATTGGCAAAGGCCTGGACGAAACGGGCATGCCAAACTGTTACAGTTTTAAATCCACTGAGCAGTGAATAAACTGGAACAATTTGATATACTTTCAAAAAAACAAGAAAACTCGCATTGACCATATTCGGCACAGCTTGCCAAATACTTTGTTAAAGTCTGCTCGACACAATAAAAATATATGAGAAATAAACAGCGAACAAATAAGGCATCCGGCACATCCGTGTGGGCGTTGCAACGCCTTTTGGGTTGAATTATTTGTGAAATGAAGCCATGCATATCTCTCTCTCTATATTATATACATGTGATAATATATTTTAGGTATATATGTATATTCATGTAAACCCATAATAAAGGCATATGATTTTAAACTTAAGGCTAAAGCATTAACGCATAAACTTCTTGGCCTGATCCCGATTGATCTGCTTGAAGACGCGCTGCTTGTGGCCGCCGCCCCGCTCGTTCATCTGTTTGTAGTAGCCAAAGCCACCGCCGCCCACTCGCTTCTCGGGCCGCTCGCGCTTGGCAGCGCCCACTTTGAGGTCAACCACTGGCGGCACCAGAAAGCCAAAGCTCTTGGCCACCGCCTGCAAGTCCAGCGTGTTCACGTTGAATATCTGTTTCAGCTGATGCGAATCATAGGCGCGCACATACGACTTGAACGCCTCCTTGGCGGACTGATTGAGGAAATAGTTCTTCGCTATCAATTTCTCCAGCTGTGAAGAGAGAGAACGTTTGAATATACATACATATATATTTCTTTATAGCTAATGTGCCTACCTGCAGCTGTATGTCGGCAATCTTTTGCCAGGAGAACTCGAATTCATTGAGCGGCACCTTGGCTGCTTTCAGATAGCGCAAGAAGCCCAATTCCTCGGGCCGTAACATCAGCAAAGCATGTCCCGAAGTGCCAGAGCCGCGAGCCGTACGGCCCACACGATGAATATACTCGCGTGGATCATCTGGCGGATCGTATTGCACAATCCAATCGACTTGCGGTATGTCCAGGCCACGCGCCGCCACATCCGTGCAGAGCAGAATGCCCGACTCGGCATTGCAGAACTGAAAGAAGGTCGTCGTCCGTTTCGTTTGCTTTTGCTTGCCATGTATAGATGTGACCGGCAGATCGATATAGTTGAAGAGCTCGTGGTGGTACTTGACCGACATGCATGAGGAGAAGAAGACCATGACCTTCTTCTTGCGATTCTTTTTGAGGAACGTGAAGAGCACCAGCAAACGCTTCTCGGACGGACAGACAATGTAGCCTTGCTCAAGTCCCTCAACGGTGGCCGTCTCCTGGTTATCATGCACGCCCACATAAATGGGCTCCTTCTTGAGCGCCAGCTTGGACAGCGCATCAATACGCTCCGTCTGTGTGGCCGAGAATAACATAGTCTGGCGGCGTTCTAAAGAGATAATAATCAAGAAATCAAATTTGAGTCCTCATCAAATAATATTCTTAACTTACTTGGCAGCAGATTGATGATCTGCTTGAGTTCCTCTTCAAAACCAATCTCCAGTATCCGATCCACTTCATCGATAATCAGACATTGCAAGTTCTTGTACAGGAAATCCGGAGAGTTCTGCAAATGATCCAACAGACGACCTGGCGTAGCCACCAGAATATTGATGCCTTTGCTCAGCTTCTCGCTCTCAACCTGGCGATTGGAGCCTCCCATAACTAAGCCGTAGGTATGATGATGATGTGCCATCAGCTCCTTGAGCACACCGAACGTCTGCATGGACAACTCGCGTGTGGGCGAGATTATAATGACGCCCGTACCATTGCGTGGCATAAACCTCAACTTATTTATCAACTCCACGGCGGGTATAAGGAAGGCCAGGGTTTTGCCTGAGCCAGTCTGGGCGGCGCCCACCAAATCTCGGCCCTTGAGCAGCGGCGTCAAGGACTTGGCCTGGATTTCGGTCATCTCAGTGAAGCCCATCTCTTCGATGGCACGCAACGTGGCCTCAGAGACGGCGCCTTTGAGTGAGGCAAAGGTGCGATCATCTGAATCCCGATGATCCAATGCCGCCAAAGAGGATTCCACAGTGAATGGTGCGTCTTCCTCAGTAGCTTTGCCATTTGCTGTGACTGTCTTTTTAGCGGCTTTAGGCTGTAACTTGGATTTCTTGGCCGGCGCAGGTTCGTCCTCCTCTCCCTCATCGGCTGAGTTTGCAGCTGTAAATATTACGATAGGATTAACCAGTATCTCTCATAGTAGTCTAAGGCTACAATATAAGAGTTTCAGTTTCTTTTTAATACATCTCATACCTGCAATTGGCAGCATTAACTCGCTGCTCCAGAGCAAATCGAATTCGCCTTTGAATCATCATTAAATATAAAATTCTAATAATATCTATATGTAATATACCTTCACTATCTATCTCCTCGTCGTCGTCATCATCCTCTGCTTCACTTCCGCTCACCGGGTTCTCTTCTTCTTCTGATTCCGACTCTGAATCGGAGTTTGCGACCTCAATTTGTGGCTTCTTTTTCAGCTGCTGGCGTTTCTTGCCTTTGCTCTGCGGCTGCTGTTGGAAATCGTCTCCCAAGTCATCTATTAAGAACAAAATGTTTTAGATTTATACACCAATAAAAAAATGCTGTTGCCTTTCACACACCTTCTTCAGGCTCCGCAGGCCGCTTCTGTTTCTTCGGCTTGTTTTTGCCAGCCTTTTCGACTGGTGGCTCCGACGCTGCCTGTTTCGCTTTGCTCGTTTTCAACTCTTCTGTTAATAGAATACTTTAAGTGAGTACATGTATATAAATTAAAATGCTGTAATTTTTCACACACCTTCTTCAGGCTCCACAGGTCGTTTCTGTTTTTTCGGCTTGTTTTTGCCAGCCTTTTCGACTGGCGCTTCCGGCGCGGCCTGCTTCACTTTGCCCTTTTTCTGTGAGAGCTCTTTCTTCATTTTCTCACGCTTGACGATTTTTTTCATTAGTAGTTTCTCTCGGATCGACATTTTAAGGAAATGCGGTATGAAAACACAACTTGGAATAAAACAAACGCGCACGTGTTGAGGACCACGATATTGCAATTCACATGTTATAGCTAAAAATCCGCAACAGCTGTGCGTAATCAAATCGATATACAGATATTCGATTAAAATAAGTATATTCCCGTATGCCCATTATCCCATTTATGCAATGCGGTTATCTTTAATATTTATTTCAAATGTAGTTCGAGAAATTATTTATTTGATTTTATGTTTAATAACCTATTCTGTTAACTATTTAATTCAGTTATTTATCTAGACATTTTTTTATTATTAATCTATTTCTGACCGAGTTGGCATGTCTAAATTTTCACAGTCACAGCGAACAAGTAATTGGCTTACAAACGCCACCTTGATGGAAATTTCTATAAACGTTTTTATTTTCATTTTGTACAGTTTGTTTATTTTATATTTGCAGCATTTTGTGAACAGATATACGGAATTCGTACGCAGTCTTTAGATAATCATGCTGGGACTGCAATCCTACGGCAGCTCATCCGACAATGACTCGGACAACGAACAAAGCGAGGAAGCTGCCAAAGAGTTGACCGCGCATTTGCAGCCCGTGGACAAAACCCATTCGTTGTCCACAACGCTGGCCGTTTGTGCAGCGCCCGACGTCGTGCCAATGGGAACCGCAGCCGTGCCACGAACGCTGGACCCCACGCTCAAGGAAGTCACCTACAATCCACGCTTCGAAGAAATGTATGCGCCCGTCCAGGGCCCAGAGCATCCCAACTTGACAATGCAGCAACGGGCGCCGCGCAACACGCTAGCTGGCTATGTCGAGAAGGCGCATATAAATGCATTTGAATTCGAGAACCAGCGACGCACCTTCCACACCTATGGCTATGCCTTAGATCCCACGGTGGACAACGAAGCCGACGGACAGTCCTTTGTGGGTGATCTCCAGTCCGCCTACGATGATAATGGCAAGACGGTCTTCGAGTCGCCAAAGCCAAAGAAGATGCGCAAACAGGAGAAAAACGATAATCCAGAGGACATAGAAGGCTTTCTCGGACCATGGGGAAAGTACGAGAACGAGATAAGTGTGGCCAAGCCCAACGAACAGGAGCGAGCCGAGCTGGACGAACTACTCTCCAAGAGACACAAACGCGGACGCATACCCGAGGACAAGCCACTGGAAGAGAAGTCCACGCTGCACAGTAAGCTAAAATTGATACAAGCTTTAAATTTATATATATTCATATATTTTATTTCCCCACAGTCAAGGAAGCCTACGATTACCAGGGCCGCTCGTATCTGCACGCGCCACACGATTTGGGTATCAATTTGCGCTCGAATGCGCCGCCACCGAAATGTTTTCTGCCCAAGGCCCACATACACACCTGGACGGGTCACAACAAGGGTATCTCTTCCATTCGTTGGTTCCCCAAGACGGCGCATTTGTTGCTCTCCGGCTCCATGGACTGTCGCGTCAAACTGTGGGAGGTGTATGGCGATCGACGATGCGTTCGCACCTTCTCCGGGCATAGGCAGGCCATCAAGGATATTGCCTGGAACAACAAGGGCTCACATTTTCTTTCCGCCTCGTATGATCGCTACATAAAGCTCTGGGATGCGGAGACGGGAGATGTTGTGTCTCGCTTTACCACACGCAAAATGCCGTTTTGCGTTAAGTTTCATCCAGACAACAGCAAGCAGCATCTCTTCGTGGCCGGCACCTCCGACAAGAAGATCATTTGTGTAAGTGTGAATCCATCCAGCGTAGTTACAGCTAAACTAAGGCTTAATCTCTTTCATAGTGGGACATACGGAGTGGTGACATTGTTCAGGAATACGATCGTCATTTGGGCTCTGTCAGCACCATTACCTTTGTGGACGATAATCGGAGATTCGTGACCACGTCGGATGACAAGTCGATGCGCATTTGGGAGTGGGACATTCCTGTGGACATGAAGTACATTGCCGACCCAACGATGCACTCCATGCCAGCAGTCACCTTGGCGCCCAATGGCAAATGGATGGCCTGTCAATCGCTGGACAACAAAATCGTGATATTCTCCGCCCTCAATCGCTTCAAGATGAATCGGAAAAAGACATTCACTGGCCACATGGTCTCCGGCTATGCCTGCCAGTTGGACTTCTCGCCGGACATGAGCTATGTGGTGTCGGGCGATGGCGATGGCAAGTGCTACATATGGGACTGGAAGACGACGAAAATGTACAAGAAGTGGCAGGCGCACGATGGCGTCTGCATCAGTGCCCTGTGGCATCCGCACGAAGCCAGCAAATTGGTCACCGCCGGCTGGGATGGTCTCATTAAATATTGGGATTAAATTACAGAAATAGAGAATTAATTGATAAGCACAAAAAGTAAAATATTAAATGATTAAATGAGCTAGAACTTCTGAATTTTGTCAGTTTTGTTTACATTTACTTCGGCAGTGCAGTGGCTGCCAAACTGTTCTGTATGGGTTGCCTGCAAAAGAAGATTATTGGAGAACATATTTGCTTTGTGATCTTTAATTACAGATATAGGTATAAATAAAGTAACACAGAAACTTGCATCGGTAACGTTTTTGTTTACATTTTGTGGCCAGCTGATAGGAGAGCGCATGCGCAGTGCTTGCCAAACTGTACAATATGGCGCTTGGGCTTGCAATCAAATTTCGTGGCCCACCCCAGGGCGCAAAACATATGTGAGACTGCCTGCCAGCCAAAATCAATACTTTTCACACAAGCAAGCAGGCGAACGGCGCAGAAATTGTTTTGCACAACAAATAAACGAAGGCCGAACCAAAAACATATACAATTAATTCAAGCTTTGCCAGCGCTGCTGCAACTGTCAAAAAGTTTGAGCGCCATTGAGAAAATGCACGCATTTGAAATTTGAGGATTAAGTAAACGTAGCAACAAAACACAAAAGCACTTCCAGTCGACAAGCACACACAGTTGTAGAGCCATGGCCAAGCCACCCACAGACGCCTCCGGCTTGGGCTATGCCTATCATCTGCCATCCGGCGGCCTTCTACTGCGCCTCAAGAACTCCCTCTCGCAGTTCAGCGATCTGTTCAGCGAGTTCAACAAATACATCTCACCTGCCTTCTTTCACGATCGCTGCGAGCGATCCGTCCATATGCGCATGTACTCCATGCACAAGCGGGAGTTCGTCATGGTCTTTCTCGGCTTCTTCACCTGCTTCGGCTTGGGCATCATCATTGGACTGACCGGCCCGCCAATAACAACAACAGACGCACTCACCGCACAGCAGATACTGGCCAACACGACGCTGGCCAAGAGCAAAACGGTGCTGGCCACTGGGCCCTTTGCCATGAAATCGCCGCTGATGACTACCTATTCGCAGCAGATGTGGCTCATAGCCAAACTGGTCACCGATAACAACGATGGTGAGTGTTCAGTCCATGCTCCAGCTCTCAGGTCACTCACTCACTGTCTCTCTGCTTGCACAGATGAGCGCTACGACAAGAGCTTTCAGATCAGCGTCTCCATCGATGGCATCAACGAGCAGCACAAGCCACTCAGCGTCCTGGGCACCAGCACCGCCCACAATCGCACGAGGCACTTGCTCTGCGTGCGCAACGACTGCGAGGAGTTCACCGTCATGCATCTGGGCTTTCTCGACTATGCCCACTACATCATCACGGTGCGGTTCTTTGGACTCGAGTCGTTCCATCAGAAATACAACATCAGAGCCATTACCTTCTATGTGAGTACTTTTAGCTAGAAATTACAGTGGGGAAGCCTTATTTTCCTTATATATTTATTCGATTTATTATATATGATTTCCAAATATGAATTTATTGTGATGTACATGTACATATATAGAATTATATATTAAATCAAGAGAAAATATATTTAATTTAGATTATTATTTACTGAAATTACTATTTATTTAAATCGTAAATAAATAAATAAAAAATTATTAATTATTTTTTTTTATTTATTTTATATCTGCAAATATATCCATTTTAGAAATATTTTAAAAACTTTATTATATCCATTTATTTATTTATTTATTTTATTTTATTTATTTATTTTTTATTTTATTTATTTATTTTTATTTTTTTTTTTCAATCATATACTACTCAAATTTATTATTTGTAGGCCTTTTTATTATTTTCTATTTGTTTTATTAAGTACATAGTATTTGTCCAATTTTAGAGTAAAATCTCTATAATTTCTTGCAGTTCAAGACATATAACCCGGAGTTTACGCAGATTGAGATTTGGTTTAGATTCATCTTTCTGCTCTTCACGTTCATAGTCATCGTAAGTGAATAAATATAGAGATAATAGCACAGAGTTAATCCCTATGTATCCCCCTCAGTGCTGGTATGCGCACACGCTCCGCAAGTACCCCGTCTATGACTGGTCCATTGAGCAGAAGTGGATATCCGTGCTGCTGCCGCTGCTGCTGCTCTACGATAGTGAGTATATATATATATAGAGACATACATAGATCTAGCTTACTGACTATGATTGAAATCTTCGATGTAGATCCACTATTTCCACTGATATTCTTGATGAACTCCTGGCTGCCTGGCATGCTGGACGCCGTTCTGCAGGCAACATTCCTCTGCGCCCTGCTCATGTTCTGGCTGTGCATCTACCACGGCCTGCGACAGAACGAGCGACGCTTCGTTAGCTTCTACCTGGTGAAGATCATCGTGGTGCTGCCCATTTGGCTGTGCGCCATTGTCCTCGCCACCTGGGAGAAGTGCAACGAGCTGCGAGATCCCACATACAGCCACTTCGTAGACACCAAGAACTATAATGTGAGTGCAGCTGAGCTCCCAGTTGGATTGCCTATAGACCTGATTTTCCTCATATAATGCATTTTGCAGGGCCTTAAGATGTTCTTCTACATTGCCTGCTGCATGTATGTGTTGTATTTGGGCGTGCTCCTGCTGCGAGCCTATACCGAACTGCGCTCCATGCCCTACTTTGGTAAGTCTTTATTCGTACTACTCGACCTTCCTTGCCCTCAAATTAATTTCCCATTCATCAATTTTTCCTCCAGACATTCGGTTAAAGTTTCTCACGCTGCTGATGCTCTTTGTGCTGTCCATCTCCATAACGGTGACCACCTGTCGCTTCGGCTTTGGTATACTGGAGGACAACTTTGTGGCCTCGCTGAATACTACCTACCGGAGTTCGGCGCAGTTCATGTGCTTTTATGGATTGCTGAACTTCTACCTGTACACCATGGCGTATGTGTATTCGCCCGATGGCCGCTTCGCCCAGGCAGAATTGGCTGTGACCAAAGATAATCCAGCCATTTCCATGATTGACGATTCAGATGAGGATGTCGTCTACGGCTCCGACGAGGAGTCGCGTCGGCCACTTACCTCCGTTGGCGGCGCGGGCAAAAATGACTACGACAGCGATTAACATTGCTCGATCAATCGCATCATATCTTAAACCCTAATTATTGTTCCACAATATGCGATCCAGACAGCGCAACATTATTGTATAAATAACTTATTCTACCGATTGCAGCGTTAACAATTCCCCTAACTAAACATGACTATAGTAAACATAATTGGTAATTATCTAAATGTTTTTTATAATACACGAGTATGTACCATATGTATGTCAAGTTTCAAATCCCGATCCTTTCAACTGGTTGTACACGCATAAATGTAAACAATATATCTCCAAAGAGTAGATGTTTTAACCATGTTGCAGATACTTTAAATTGAGTACAAAAGAAAATATGGAGTTTGTGTTTTAATTCGGTGAAACAAAGTTTTGATTCCTTTCTTTAAATTAAATTATAGATCCGGACCTAGACTTTTCTTATACAAATTTCTCAATCATAGCTCATATGGTATATGGTATATATTTCTATTCCGAATGTGTAACTGAGCCCGGACTTAGTCACCGAACTTCGTGTTATAGCGCCGCGCAAAATTAAGGAAGGAACTGAAGTTCGTCAGCGAAAGGATTACAAATATTTTACTAGACTGTTTATTACATAATTAACACATTTCGCCAGTGAACTCAAAACACACAAACGGCCGGCTTAGTAGGGCTCGTTGATGCCAATCTTTAACTTGGTCAGCAAACCAGTGTCACCCATATCCGCATTGTAGCCGGGGCGGTACTTCATGCCAGGCGCCTGGTGAAGAAAATTATGCGAGTTAGACTTTGGGTAAATTGGGCATAATTGGGCAATTAACTCACATTGTACCAGACGTCACGCCAGACTTTGCCGTCCTCGGCGCTGCGCAAAAGTTCGGGCACATCGAAGCGTGGCACATTGAAGTAGTTCATCAAGTCGGGCTTCTCGTTGCAGTACTTAATGCGCGCCTCGCACCACTCGGTCTCGAGCGGGAAACGCCAGTCGATCATTTTCTTGTTGTGCGGATCCGATTCGTACTGCTCGAAATTAATGCGCTCGATATCCTCCACCACAACCTCAGTTTCGCCGCCGGCTGACCAGTCGTAGATGAGCAGCTCGGCATGTCCAGAAATGTCCTTCAGATACTGCTGCTTGTAAATGACCTCCAGATCGGTCAAATACGCATCGGTAAACACTTTCGATTTCACCTCATGCTCCAAGTTGCGTGCTTTGATTTGCTTCTGCACGACATCGACGGGCACATCCAGATAGATAACCAAATGCGGCTTCAGCAGCTCGCCGATGGTATTCTGACGCACATCGTTGTAGACGGAGCGAGCTCCGCGGGAAATATAGCCTTGGCGGAACATGGCCTCCATGAAGACAAAGTCGGAGAAGGGACTGCGCTCTGTAACCACGCCCTGGCCCGTGGACAAGATGTGCTGCAGTGCATCGATATACTGCGAGTAGCGCAACATGTACATGCGAATCTGGAACGCAGCGGCCGAGGGATGTTTTGGATCCGCACAGAAGTTCTTAATGTCATAACTGCGGCAGCTAGGCGGCAGCTCTGGATCCAATTTACGCATATCATAGCCATATGAATTAATATAGATCAGATCCATATCGACAGCCGGATAGTATTGCATATCCAGTTCCGCGGCCAGCTCCATGGCAAACTTTGTTTTGCCTGCCGCAACGGGACCCTCGACACAAATCACTTTCGTGTTCTCATCGAAACGCTTCGTGGTCTTGTCGAACATGGCGCTGAAGACATTGTACTTCTTCGTCTTGTACGGATAAGGCGGCACTTTGGGACACCGTGGACCGCCACGCATCGTCTTGCCGGAGATATTGCACTTCTGCATGAAGGCGGCAGGCAATCCAGTCGTCTGGGCCTGCAGCAGTGTGGCAGGGGCGGGGGCGGTTGAGCCACGACCAACTAGCCGCACCAGGCCAACTCGAAACACGGCAGTCATGCTGTAGTCATAAAAAGTCCAGCATTAATTACAATCTAAATAATAATAGTTAACAATTGGTTGGCATTTTCTGCTGTCTGTTGTTACATCACACGAGCTTCAAAATACTTTGCTGCAATTTTTGTTTGCCAGCCTCACTTAATCTAGGAATAGCCTTCTATTGGCAAATCACGAGTGGAAGATCTGTTGCGGCTTCAGCAAAAGCAATATTAATTGCGGATTCGCGTATCATTTACTCACTTTAAAAGCAAAAATCTAAAATCTATCCAATAACAATTTCGGCCTATGCAGCTGGTGTTGGTAAACGACAAACTTTGCAGTATTGTTCCACACTCTAAAGTGGGTTGACAGCGTTTCTCAAAAGCACTTTCAAATAATTATTTATACTTTTTGAATTTGCAAAGTAGTTTTTTATACAGGGGACAGTGATTTTATCGTCAAATCGAATTCATTATTTTATTCAGTTTCTACAGCCTGGTCGCTTTGCAAGCCCAGAAAATATACTTTTTTTTAGATGTTGTGACAGCCCTGTGCGTAACCTCGCTGCATTTCAAGACATTTGTTGGGGAGCTCACAATGTATTGGAAGAATATCAATTAAAAGTGCACGACAATTAGTATTTTAATATTGCAAGTTTTTGTAACGCATCCTAAACATAAATACATGTAAGTTACAGTTTTTCGATCTGTGTATTTCGTTCACAATATGATTTGTGCAGCGTTACGCAACGGACAATTCAAAAGATTTACGCGTGACACAGTTAAAGTAAATTTTTTGATTTTAGCAACAATTTGAAATAAATCAATCAATATGGGGAACTCAGCGCTGTCCAGGGTCCAAATGGAGGGCGTCAAGACGATGCCAGCCGAGCATGGCAAGCATATGGCCAATGCTGGCAAAGCACCGCCGCCCGAATGCCCCATGCATCAGAAACAGGGAGGCAATGAATCGGCCTCCGCGGTGCCGCCACATCCCAAAATGCAGGCATCTGAGTGCCCCGTTCAGCACGACAATAGCGATGTCAATCCGTTGAATATGATGCCCCCAGCGAACCAACAGCCGGCACCCGATCAACCCTTTCCTCTGCCCACAGATCGTCAGACTTCGACCATACCAAAGGTGACCGAGGATGGGAGCGTTCAGTTTTGGCAATACCCCAGTCAACAGATGTTCTGGAATGCAATGTTGCGCAAGGGCTGGCGCTGGAAAAATGAGGATGTCTCCCAGAAGGATATGGGCGACATAATACGCATTCACAATGCCAACAACGAGCAAGCCTGGCAGGAAGTACTTAAATGGGAGGCGCTACATGCCAAGGAGTGCGGCAATCCACGCTTGAAGAGTTTCGGCGGCAAGGCCAAAGATTTCAGTCCACGTGCGCGCTTCCGCAGCTGGCTTGGGTAAACGGATAAAGACGATTCACTCTATGAACATATTTAAAGTATTTTTTACTTCTAGTTATGAGCTGCCTTTCGATCGCCATGATTGGATTGTGGACCGTTGCGGCAAGGATGTGCGCTATGTCATTGACTACTATGATGGCGGCCTAGTTGACAAGGATTACCGCTTTGCTTTATTAGATGTGCGCCCGGCCATGGACTCCGTTGATAACGTTTGGGATCGCATGCGCGTCGCCTATATGCGCTGGAAATACGAATTATCAGAAAAATTCGGCAGCTCTGGCAATAGCAAAACAGCAACTGCTGGTAGCGAGTAGAAAGCTTTTTAGGAGTGTACAAAATTGGTCTAAGTTATTATTGAACCCAAAAACTGTTGTAGGCTGCGCTGTATGCATTCAAGTTCGGTGCTGCCATTGAAAAAATATATTACTTTTATTTGACAAACAAGAAATTTAATATTATATTGGGGTATTTATGAATATTTTCTCACTAGTAATTTAATGCAATGAGCTCGCACATATTCGTGCTACGGCTTTCGTGCTCTCGTGCAAACACGACACGCGCCCATCTCAATCTCTCTGGACAAAAATTCCATTCTGAGAATGTCAAACTGTTAAAGTGTCAGTGTTGGGTAATCAGCAATTTTCGTTGTATTTCGTTCTTACAAGTGGAGCTGGTGATCGATCGAACAGTCATAAATGTTGTCTGCTAGAATGCGTTTCGTGCAATATTTGCGTAAGGGCGATCTCGCTAAGCGCCTCGGTCTTTTGACCGACGATCACAAGTCTGTCGTTGAGCTAAGCGGCGTCGAAGGCGTGCCCTGTGACCTGAAGACTTTGATTGCGCAAAACCCGAATCTGGCAGATCTCGCCAAAAAGGCTGAAAAACAGCCGAAGCTTCCACTGAACGATGACGTCACTTTACTGCCTCCATTGACCGATCCAGGCAAAATCATTTGCATCGGCCTCAACTATCAAGATCACTGCGATGAGCAGAACAAGCCGGCACCCAAGGCTCCCATGTTCTTCAGCAAATACAACAACACATTGGTGGGGCCAACGGATGATGTGATAGCGCACGAAGTGACAAATGTATGTGGAAAAACTATGATTATGCTATATATTTTCTGATTTTATCTTTTCTATTTTATCTTATCAGAAAATGGACTGGGAAGTGGAGCTGGTGGTTGTCATTGGCAAGGTCGCCCGTCTAGTGCCCAAGGAAAAAGCGTTCGACTATGTGTTTGGCTATACCATTGCCCAAGACATCTCGGCTCGGGACTGGCAAAAGGAGCGCAATGGTGGTCAATTCCTATTGGGCAAATCTATGGACACCTTCTGTCCCCTTGGCCCTGCTGTGGTGCATAAGAGCTTAATTAAGGATGTATACGATTTGCCTTTGAAAACTTGGATCAATGGCGTTGAGAAGCAAAATGGCAACACTGGAGATATGATCCACAAAATAGATGATGTCATTAATAGACTAACTCAGTGAGTAGCTCAGCAAACATGACTAATCCTCATGAGATTTAATCATTTAATGGCTAAACCGTGACAGGTCGATTACACTGCTGCCGGGCGACATCATTTTGACCGGCACACCAAAAGGTGTGGGCATGTATCGCAGCCCACCCGAGTATCTGAAAGCTGGAGATGTCATCAAAACTGAGATCGATGGGCTGGGCACGATGACCAACCAAGTGGTGCCTCCATGCAAGCCAAATTAATTGTTGTTATTCAATGTTATATAAAGTAAACAAGTGTTAAAAAAAAACATGTTATTAAATCATTTAGCGACTACACTTTAAATGTTTTCGATTTGGTTGCAAAGTACTCGTCGCGTTTGTGGTACGGAGCATATGGGTCGTCGATATAATGCTTGGGCCGACGCCAGTAGCTCGTCACCATCTTGTCCAGCAGCCAGCTCTGTGTGGCGTTTGTAAATACATGTTGACGTAGACGACGGCGCAGCTCTGGGGACTTCTTAAACATTTTCTTATGGCGGCCAGAGTGTGTACGGATCCAGGCACCCCAATCTAGGCGCTTGAAGCGCTTTAGCACCGCCTTCACTGACTTACGTTTGCCCTTGATGAGTGAGAACTTCGTGACACTGCGAGTGGGCAAAGCATCAAGCACAGCCGGCTGTAATAACGTCGGTGTTAGGCTGCGAGCAGGTAGTAAACTTATTTTGCTCTGAGCAGGAGAAGAAGCAGCAATCAAATGACCAAAAAAGTTCCGTTGGGTTTGCTGCAGCGCTAATGCCGGCTGAGCACGGCAGACACTGCGCATTGCTGTCGATATCATATAATTAATGATCACACAATCAATATATGCTTATGCATCTGTTCAACTTACCACCTGCAACCAGCGAACATAGCATTTCTGTATTCTCTTTAATTGATCAAAATAATGTCAAAATTTTCTTATGGAACGCTGTCGCGTAACAGCCTCTGGCTCTGTCCAGTCAGCTGTTCGAGAGTAACACATGCTTGGTATTAGACATTCACAGTTTACGGCGACGCAGTGCGCTCATTTTAAAACACATTTTTTTATACTTCATTTACATTGAGTTTTTATTAATATTTGTAAAATAGTATAAAATTGAGTCAAATTAAAGTTAGAAATTTATGTTGATTTCATACTACTTACACTCATCAAAGGCTATCCATTACTGCACGAATGGAAAAGGCTGGCAGCAATCGTTTGCCATTCTTTTGTAAACGTGCATATAACGTCGACGGCCAGCGAGCTAGCCAGTATTTGTCGTTGGAGAGAAATTGGGCAGGAAAATTATTCTCGCCGCCGGTTAGAGTCTGCGGTACGCACCATCGAAGCAAATTAACGAAAATCTGTGGCTACATCATGTACAGACTAGCAGCAATTGAGTGCAAGAGTGCGATGCAGGTAATAAATATGACTAAAATCATGTGAAAATCAATCGTGTCGGTGACGTCGGTGACACCCGATCGCCCCGCAATCGCCCACAAACAAAGCCAATTGCAAAAATATACAAGAGTGCTTGTGTGTTATGTCATCTACCAAATGCAAAAAATGTCCAAAATTCCAGCCAGGCCGCATTTGTTGACCATTGATATGTGTTTCCGTTGTCAATTAGAATCGTTCAATTATATCTTTTTAGCGCACGCTTCCCCAAACCAGCAGCAGACAATACAGCAGTAATAACAACAGAAGTCACAGTGGTAATGGACAACAGCAAAATCAACAACAGCAGGAACAACATCAGCAGCAACGGCAACGGCAAAGAGGCAGCCTGCCCCCGCCTCCCAATGCACGCGAAGCAGGCTTCGGCAAAGTGATGGTTCTATTGAGCCCACTGGCTGCAGTCGGCGGCGTCATCACTTATTCCAAGTGAGTCTTGAATTAGATTCCTTGGCTTGTCAGATTAATTTATGCATGGGTACTTGTAATTGCAGGTACGACAATGATTTCCGCAAGATGGTTGAGAAGAATGTGCCCGGCGCCGAGGCGGTAATCAAAGTGGCACTGCAGGAAGAGCCACCATTCCAGGGAATCACCAAAAGTGTTAACGACCAAATCGATAGTATAAAATCGACCTTCACTAGTGTTTCGGACACGGTTAGCTCCGCTTCGAATAAAGTAACCGGATTCTTTGGCGGCAAAAAGGATCCCCCGGTGCAGGCTGCATCAAAACCAAACGAGACTGCGGTACAGAAAACAGATAAACTGAAGTCAGCTGCTACTCCAACTCCGCCAGCTGCCCAGAAGGAAACAAAAATTGCCACCAAGTCGGACGTAACGCCGCCACCGCCAAAACCAGCTGCGCCTCAACCTCAACCATTGCCACACGAAGTCGTGGAGCTGGAGAAGGCCATTGAGCTGTCGGCCCAGTTGGCAATCAAGGAGTACAATTCTGCTATTGGAGTTCTTAAGTGGTGCGTATATAAATAAATATTTATATTTATATATTACTAATATTGTAAATAATTATTTGCAACAGTTTCAACGATGATGTTCGTCGCGTGGTCGACAAGGCAGTGGAGCATGGGGAGAACTCGCTGTGGGCAACACTGAAGAACCGAGCAAGTGCAAGAGACTCGGCCGTACAGGTGGCAGAGCGTGCGGCTCGCGAGGCACAGGAAAAGATTGGTGAGTGTAGACTCGACAACAAAAGCATAAAATAAAACCATTTGATGCAATCTCATTTCAGAGCGCTGTCAAATCGCATTGAGTAAGGCGGCAAATGCGAAAAATCAGGAGAAGGTAGAGCAAGTGCGAGATAAGATTCAGAAACTTGTGGCGCATATAAATAAAGTCAAGGATGAGCTGTACCGACAGAAGGACACAGCGAGCGTATCAGATAAATATTGGCGTAGTGTAGAACAAGCACGAAATTATTTTATTGATGAAATCGAGTCGATTTTCCCTGGCATCAATCTGGCAGAGAAGAAGTTGAACCTATCGAAAGAGGATCTGGATTTGTTCATACTGCATGCCTATTCGCATGTAGTGGCCTACCAAAAGGAGCTGCAGCGCCTGCAAACCGACGGCGAATTGCGTCTGAAGCGTGCCATTGATTCGCTGCGCGGCGACAATAGCTCGGAGGCTTTGCGTGCCCAGCTCGACTACCATTTGGAGGCCGAGAAGCGCAAGCTGGCGGTGGAGAATCAGAAGAAGATATTCCAAATCCATGCCGAGGCGGACAAGCAACTGCGTCTGCAGCTGAAGAAACAAACCGAAGCCCATACAGATCATATTAAGGACATCGTTGCGCAGCGCGAGAACGATTTGACGCGCGCTTTCCAGCGTGAAATGGACGATAAATTGGCTGCTGAAAAGGCCAACTACAAGCTCCAACTGGCTGCCATGCTGGGCAAGCTACGCGGAATGGACGCTGCACTGGCTGGTACGTAATCTACTAAAATGGGGTGAACTTGGATAGATTGTTATTTATATTATATTATGCATAAGCTGTATGTGTAAATCGGGTATAAAAGGTTTTCCTTGGCCGTTATTGATTCTTGCCTTAAAAACTATCTTGGCTAGCATTTTAATATTTTAAATGTATTGCTCTCATATAAATGCTGCTTGTGTAGAAATAGAGGACAAGTTCGCAGGTATATTCCCCAAGCTTACAATTTATATAAATATGAAAAAGTTAATTCTTGCTTAAAATTAATGATAATTTTTAATCTTTATCATAGAACGCGCTGAAACTGAGCGTTCTGCTAACCAGGCGCAAGCTTTATGGGCTGCCTGCCAAGCCCTTTGGGCTTCTGTACGCACTGCCACGCCCGGTGTCCACTACAAGGACAAGCTGAGGCCACTCAAGAACGAGATCAGTGCAATTGCCAAGGTGGCTGGTGAGTGGGAACGATAGTGGATTAGATAAACCATATTTCATACCTCACAATTCCCTTGCAGAGGGTGACGAATTGGTAATTGCTGTGCTGGAGAACATGCCAAAGGAGGCTCAGGAGCGTGGCGTATTCCCGGAAGATGCGCTACGTGAGCGGTTCCTGAACGTTGAGCGCATTGCCCGACGTCTAGCAATGGTGCCAGAGAATGGAGGAAGCATACCCATTTATTTCCTCTCATTTCTGCAATCCCTTTTCATTTTACGGCCAGACAATCCAGTTTCGAGCGATGAGCTAGAGAACAAGCCTTTCGATTATAGTAAATTGGACACCTATGACATATTGAATAGAGCCAGGTGAGCTAATTAGCAAGTTATTTAATGGTATCTATAATCTGAACTATCTGCTTTGATATTTGATAGGTACCATGTGGACCGTGGTGATTTCCTGCAGGCGCTTAAATACTTAAACCTGCTGCAGGGCGCTCCTCGCGAAGTGGCCAGCGATTGGATGAAGGAGACTCGCCTCATGCTCGAGACACAGCAGGCAGCAAATACTCTGATGGCGCACGCCGCTGCAAGCGGTTTGATGTATTTGTAAACTATGTTCCCCACAACGTCGACCGTTTAGTTAATCATCGATTTGTTTTAATTATAACCCCAAAAAAAGCACTTCTTTCAAACATAGATTGTCAAATTTTGTTTTAGATTCAATTATACAAATTACAAATATAGAAGAGGTCTGTAAACTGGAAAATGAAATCTAATATGGCTATGTAATTTGAACTTAAGGGTTTACGACTTTATTTCACACTGTTTCCCACAATTTAAAAATAAGGATTTACGACTTTATTTCTCATTTTTCCCAGCTTTTGTATTTCACTCTCGACCATATCACCGGGCTTCAGATAGCTTGACGGATTGCGATAGGCCCCAGCGCCGGCAGGTGTACCGGTCAAAATAATGTCGCCCGGACAGAGCGTCATAAATCTATATGGAATTTAATGTTAGTTACACTGAAATATCACCAGCTTTCGGTGGACTTACTGGGATAATCTATGTATGAGGTAGTCTATTTTGAAGATCATATTCTTTGTGTTACCGCACTGACGTTCCTCACCGTTGACAATCGTCTTGATCCACAGATTATTGACATCGGGTACATGACTCTTGTGGACGATGATTGGCCCCAGTGGACAGAACGTGTCCAACGACTTACCTAACATTGTTTGGCCACCGAGAAATACATTCCAGTCACGTGCGTTAATATCCTGGGCAATCATATAACCAAAAACACAGCTCATAGCAGCGACGCGAGAGACGTGGCGGCATTTCTTGCCAATTACCACGGCCAGCTCGCAGCCATAATCGATGCGCTGCAAATGGGCGAATGAGAGATATTTAATTAGAGCATATTAAGTAATTTGTGGTGAACCCACCTTGGCTATTTGATGGGCACGGATATTATCGAGGGCACCCGTAATGGAGGTGCCGAATTTAACAAAAAACTCTGGTGCCTTGGGCACTTTCATGTTGCGCTCGTTGCAGCTGTCATAGTAGTTGCAACCGACGCCAATTATTTTACCTGGCGAATCAATGGGCGGCAGGAGGCGCAGGTCGGGCTTGACATCCTCAACATCCATATATTTGGCGCTTTCCATCAGACTTTTCATACAATATTTCTGGTGTATAAAGCTGATCATGTCTGGCGCGGCACACGTTTTGCCGGACAATTCAATCATTTTGGAGCCATTTTCGGACACCATGCCGAGGCGCTTGTCGGTGTCGCCAGCACGTACATATTGCATAAAGCGGCATTTTGGAATGTAGAAGTCGCTGTTGTAGACGGATTTGATTTGCTCTAACGGATTGCCTCTCAGATGCTCCAGTCCGAAGCGCTCCAATGGCGAGGCTTTTGCATGCAAACGAGCAAATCCGAACCTGTTACGCAGCAAAGAGACTGCAGATTTCATTATTTGACTTTCATGTATTTGTCTTATTGTAAACGATGGGGCAATTTTGAAGAAGTGCAAACTCTTGTATCTAAAAGAAATTCCAAATGTTTCGCTTTGAATATCTACTCCCAAATAATTGGATCAGTCCATTTTTTGTTTTGAAATGTAAGTCTTGGGCTCGTTGCTTAAAGTGAAGGCTGCCCTTAACCGTTTAAGTTGGATTTAAATTAGAGTTTAAAATGAAACGGAGAACTATTTATCTATTTTTTATATGAGCTTATCGGCGGTTAAATTGATCGATTTATTGATTAATATGGTAACGAATAATTTTGTTACTTCTGAGCTATTTATTTATGCAAAAATTGATGTAATAGAAATGTAAAAACAAATATTTGTGCAAAGCAACAAAAATGCTGTCTAATTGATTATTTTTCTGATTTGTTTTAAATTTTATTTGATGGGCTTTGACTGGTGTGGCAACTGTGACTTTGTGCCGTTAAGTAATCGCCAAAAGTAACGAGTTTGAGAGCTGCATTGATCAGCAGTAAATAGATGAAGTCTGGCAACTCCAGTATTATTGTGTGTGCCTCCAGTTGGGATTTTTCCAGTTGAACAAGTTACATCAATAAAAATGCCCTGTTTGTCCAGCTATATATGATTATATATGTAAAATTGAGTGAAAACTTGCATGACTCAACCAAGATACTGCAGAGTGCAGGTGTTGTTGCAACATGAACGCGGCAGCTGAAGGCAGAGCCAACGACAGCCCATCAAGATCGGGCCGCGAGGACAACTCCATGCCAATAAGACTATTGCCGGAGCCTGTGCGACAGGAGCTGTGCGAGCACTTGGACTCTCTGGACGTGTGGCAGCAGCTGGCCGCCTTTGTGAAACTGTATCCCAGTGATGTGCAGCACATACGCAACCAGAGCACACGCGGCCGCTCTCCCTCAATGGAGTTCCTGAACATCTGGGGCGGGCAATACAATCACACGGTCTACAACCTGTTTGCGCTCTTCCATAAGTAAGGATCAGCCTTGTCATTGAGCCTTCTCACTGAACTAATTTGCTTTTGCAGAATGAAGCTGCACAATGCTATGCGCATTATCAAGGATCACGTTGATGACAAATTCCATAAATACATTCCGCGCAGCATGCCAACAATTAGCGAGCTACGTGCACCGCCCAGCACCAGCTCCAAGATCAATAATGGACCACCGTATGCCTCCTCGTCTGGCGTCACAGACGACAGCAACATGAATAGCAATAGCCTCGAATCTCCGGGCGATATACGCGTGAGTAGCGTGCAGCGGGCTGCCCAGTCCTTGCTGGAAATCGACTATGAAGAACTGGTGATAGCCACGGAAAACTGGCGGCCAGAGAACAAATTGGGCAACGGAGGCTTCGGTGAGGTCTTCAAGGGCGAATGGAAACAGCTCGAGGTGGCCATCAAGGCGATGAACTACATCCACAAGCACAATGACAAGACCCAAGTGCACCTGCAGCAGAGCTACAATGAGCTGAAGTATCTAAATACCATAAGACATGATAATATTCTAGCGCTCTATGGGTACAGCATCAACGGGGAGAAGCCCTGCCTCGTGTACCAGCTGATGAAGGGCGGATCGCTGGATTCGCGACTCCGAGTGCACAAGTCGAAGCAACCGCTGGCGCCGTTGACCTGGCAGCAGCGCCTCTGCATAGCCCTGGGCACAGCCAAGTAGATTGACGCCTCACCTTATATTTATTTATTTAATCTTAACATATACATATATATATCCCTCACAGAGGCATCTACTTTTTGCACACGGCACGCAGCAAGCCGCTCATCCATGGCGACATCAAACCCGCGAATATACTACTGGATCAATGCCTGCAGCCCAAGATTGGCGACTTTGGCCTGGCACGCGAGGGTCCCAAGTCCATCGATGCGGTCATAGAAGTACGGCAGGTCTTCGGCACCCGTATCTACTTGCCGCCCGAGTTTCTCACGTCCAAGAAGCTAAGCACCGGCGTGGACATCTATAGCTTTGGCGTTGTCCTGCTGGAGGTATTCACTGGCCGCCTCATGGCCGAGTGTACGCTCCAAAATGATCAGCAAAACTTGCTCAAATACGTCAAGGCCAAATGCCTGCAGCCGCACCAGAATCGCCTTGATCTCTTTGACAAGCATCTGGTCACGCCCATGGGAGATGAGCTGGACAAGTGCCTGTGTGCCATAGAAGTGGGCCTCAAGTGTGCCGCATCCAATCCGCAGGACAGGCCCTCCATGGACGAGGTTGTCAGATGCTTCAAGACCTTTAGCACTGAATCTTAAATATGAAGCACTCCAATAATACATTATATATTATTTTTATACTTTTTATATGACTTTTGTTATCATTGATATGTGTAGATACATACATATGTATATAAACTGTTGTCCATAACAATGCATACCAAAACATTATTAAAACATGTAACCTAACACATATATATGTATATACTTTTGTAACAAATCCCTTTACAAAAACAGTTTAATCTTCTATGGTAAAACAACAAACGGACAGGGAATATAAATAAAATATATATTATTTAAAACATCGACAGTAAAATCTTGGCAAATTGTTAAAATGTCAAATATATTGTAGATTATATTTATATAACATTTTATACATTATACTAGCTCAACACTGTTTATATACACATTTTAGTCCGGCTGTTTTGAGTCAAGTATCTAAAAATCAAAAAAATTAAAAAATAGATTTTCAAAATTGATTTATTTTGGGAATGTATTATAAGGGATTAGGGATTAAAAAAAAAGAGGAACAGCGAAACGAAAGAACAAAATTAAAAGAATAAATTATATGAAAGAAGAAATAAGGAGGGACAAAGTGAGAAGAACAAAAGAAACGAGAGAAAACGAAAGGCAAAAAGGATAGAGGGGAAATTGAAGTATTTAAGAAAAGCAAAATCATTATTAGGTAAGTTCAAGATATATTACCATATGCACACGGCCATATTCAGGAATTAACCATGAATCGATCAATCGTAGTCGCAAAGAAATTAGAAGAGTTTACCAAAATATTCCTTTGCCTTTAATGTCAATTTGTTAGTGTTAAACACATTCCATAGTCCGTAGTCCGTAGTCCGTTGGGTCTGCGTTAGCTAAGTGTTTTGATTCTACCGTCAATTCGGTCATTTGTACTTGCGTCAATAACAAATATTTTTGACTCAACTTTGTTCATAATTTTCGTTTTAAATAGAACACAGGATAGCTCAATTTGTTTTTCCCAATTGACAAACACTATGAATTTGAAAAATTCCAAGTTTTACAAAAGAATTCAGGAGCTGCGCAATTTCTCAAAAGAGAAAATACGAAAGGATCGAGAGCAACGGGGCCTGCGCACCCCAGTCATACGTGGCGTGGAAATGGCCTTGTCCGAGTCCAAATGCGTGGCGCCCGTCATTGAATTGGAATGGTCCCAGCTGGCGGGCCCCCTGACGGAGACCTGTTCGCCGCGCCGACACCCCTCCCCGCCCAAGGTCAAACACAGCAAGAAGAAGGCAGGCGCGGTGGCACAGCCACGCCTGAAGGGCGGACAAGGATTTCAGCCGGTCAAGACAATCGGCTTGAATGACCAGGTGCCAGTCGAGGGCTATATAGATCTGAACCATTTGCGGTTTCGTGTGGCCTGCACAGCCCGAACAGATACCTCTCCACGACGCGAGGAAATTCTGAAAGTTTGGTGAGATCCCTCTTTACATTGGTTGATCGAACTTTCTATTCTATTCTCCCTACTCCGATTAGTGATTCAAAGAACGCAATTTGTGTATCAAATTCGCGTTACGCGATGATCGGTCGCATCTCCAAATCTTTGGGTTATAAATTGGTCAAGGAGTCGAAATTGTGGAATATCCTGTGGTCTGATTCGTTTCCCGGCGTCGAGCTCTTCAAGAACATGAAACGCTTTCAGCAGATCAATCATTTTCCGGGCATGATCGAAATATGTCGCAAGGATCTGCTCTCACGTAACCTAAATCGCATGCTCAAACTGTATCCACACGACTACAAAATATTTCCAAAAACCTGGATGTTACCCGCTGAGTAAGTCTTAGTTTTTCGGACACTCTCTTTCATCTACCCCATCTCTAATTTCCGCTTCCCAGTTATGGCGACGCAATGCACTACGCTCAGAATCACAAGCGCACGTTCATTTTGAAACCGGATTCAGGCGCTCAGGGCCGCGGCATTTGGTTGACCAACGATCTGAAGACCATTGGCCCCAACGAGCGCCTCATCTGTCAGACCTATATACATCGAGTATGCAGTTTTCCTTCCAATATTCACCTACATATATCCCTCTCTCACTCTTTCTCTCCCTCTCGTCCTTTTCAACCTCTGCAGCCGCTGCTCATCGATGGCTACAAATTCGATTTGCGCGTTTACACTTTGATTACGTCCGTGGACCCATTACGGCTTTACGTCTACAATGAGGGTCTGGCACGGTTCGCCACCAACAAATATGTGGAGCCCACTCCGGGCAATGCCCACGATCTGTACATGCATCTGACCAACTACTCGGTGAACAAACGCAACTCCCAGTACGATCTGTGCGACAATGACGATTGCGGCAGCAAACGGAAGCTGAGCGCCATTAACAATTGGATGAGCAGGCACAACTATGACGTGGGCGAGTTCTGGTCGAATGTGGACGACGTCATCATCAAGACCGTGCTGAGCGCGTGGCCGGTGCTCAAGCACAACTACCATGCCTGCTTTCCGGGCCACGATACCATACAGGCCTGCTTCGAGATACTCGGCTTCGACATTCTGGTGGACTGGAAGCTGAAGCCGTACATACTGGAGGTGAATCATTCGCCCAGCTTTCACACCAACGAGCAGGTCGACCGTGAGGTCAAGAGGCCACTCATCAGGGATACCTTATCTCTGGTCAGCACCGTGCTGGCGGATAAGAAGCAGATTTTGCGAGAGGATCGCAAACGCGTCAAGCAGCGCCTGCTCAAGTCCAAGAGCGAGTGAGTAGATGCTAGAGTAGATCAGGATCTCTTAATGGCTAACCCCAACCGCCCTCTTCATTCCATCTTTGCAGCGTGCAACGCTCACGCCTTGTGGCAGGCGCTACCAAGGGTTTGCCCAACAAGGAAGGTAGTCCTACGAACAAGGAGCAGTCACCAGAGCCAGAGGCCGATTCCCTGGCCCAGCAAATTGCCTGGGAGGAGAGTCACATGGGGAACTTTCGTCGCATCATGCCACCACCAGATCCCAGTCGAATCAACTACTACGGCAAGTTCTTTGGCCAGACCAATCTGGTGTCCATTTTCCAGGAGACGGCGGCCAGCAAGAAGCGCGAGGATCTCGCACGTAAGATGCGCCTCCAGATCGAGGAAAAGAAGGCGAAACAGGAGCAAATGCTGAACTCTCGCAGCAAGCGCAAACGTTTGATTCAGCCCCGTATAGCGCGCGAGAAGCATCGCCTGAATCTCTTCCGTCTGAAGGAGAACTGGGCACCCGGCTTTATATCCGAGGCTGAGGAGCGCTTGCGGAATACCTGGCAACAGATGCGCACCGATGCTATAAAGAATCTAAAAATTACAGAGAACGTAAGCTTAACTATTCCAAATGAAGGAGATATCCTGGTTGGGATGGGCTACTGTCTGCGATATATAGGAAAATGCATTTAGATTAGATCGCCTTTTCAAGTTTTTAGCTTTCGTGGCTTATGAGATCCCTGAATTCACACGGATGGATAGTTCACGAGACGGACAGACACACAGGAAGATCGACTTGGCTTGCCTTCCTGCTGAAGAGTATTTTACGAAATATTCTTCTGCATGCTGCATAGATAGTTCCTTAATTCTTGAATTACCGTGAATACTTCTTTTCAATTTAGTCAGATTTTCGTAGTCAGATATTAACCGATAGATAAGACTGTGATATTTCAAGCAACATTTCCCTTACTCGATTTCCCTCACTCTTTATTCGAATTTCTCTCTAACGATCCTCTCTCTTTTCAACTCTAGATATACTCACTGCTCTTCCAGTTTGGTCATTTGAGCAATACAGATATATCGACGTTTCCAAATTTGTATCACTATTTGCAATGTGGTTATGATATAACGGGAGCTACGGGAGCTACGTGAGCGTTGGCCTAGAAGAGGACTGGTGGGGCAGTTGAGATAGAAGCGATGTACAGTCTAAATATATAGTGCATAAAATCAAAAAACCCCATTCAAATCAACAGACAAGATCGAGGTCTATTTCAATTTGGTGGTCGCAGATGAGCTTGGCTCTGCAAAAAAGCAATGTACATGCATACATACATACGTATCTGTATATGTATGTATATATGTGTATTTATCTATATATATATATATGTGTATGTATGTCTACAACTGTAATGGTGTTTGTGGTTATGAATTTGTTAATATGTATTTTGAAATTTTAATTAACTGCATCGCATAGCATTGGCCGTACGGGAGAAACTCCATTTAGATGTAATGTGTAATGTGCAGTAATTGTGGTCTAAACCAATGAAACATGTTTATATTACCGAAATTAACAAATTGCATTCAAAATAATAATTGTTAAAAATTTTACGTTTTTATTTAACTAAATTTGTTTGTGTGCGAGGGTCATGAACAAAGTAAACAGATGCTAAATGTAGATACATATGTACATATGTATGTATGTATGTAAATAAAAGTCGATATAAACCTGTAAATCAAAGTAATGGAATAAAATAGAAATGTAATGCTAAAACTCTGAATTCAGTGATATTTTACTAAATGTAGATATATTAACATTTTATCTACTTATTGATCCCAAGAATAACATATTGTTTTTCTGACTACCTCCCTAGCTTGTGCATTGCTCTTGCTTTTCCTTATTTACAATTCATTCCAGATTAGAAATTCAATTGAGCCTAAAATAAGATATTTTGTATTTGATATAAATATATCAGAAAATAAAAATAAATGATTTCACATAGAATCTCGCTAATCTTTCGTCTACCTATTGGTCGTACTACGCAAATTAAAATAAATAAATTGTGGATCACATTTCTATATATTTCATATGCTTTCTCTTGGCAGAATGCCATCTCGGATCAAACTGAGAAATCAAGAAACATCATTCAGTTTTGCATTTGGGCGCGTGTTTCTATAGATGTGAATGGAAAATATTGAGAAATTCTCAAGAGCATTTTCGAGTGTTTGAGAGAGTGAAAGAGAGAGAGAGAGAGAGAGAGAGAGAGCGGGAGGCACTGCACAGCAGCAGATCTTCAGTCTGGCCAAGGAATAGCAGCGGCGCAGACAACGCCACGTCAGACAGCGCTCGTAAATTGGAGAAAAAGAGGAAGAATTTACAGAGTTTATTGAAAAGGCAATTTGCCAGATTAGTTGGGATTGCATCGTGTAAATTCTTGCGCGCGTGTTTGGCGGCATGTTCCGAGTGTCGCAGGAGATTCGCTTGAATACGAGCGCAGCGGGCGCCGCGGGGCAGGCCCAGGGGCTGGCCGATCTCGGCGATGTCAGCAGCAGTGCGGAGAGTTGTATTTTCGGTCGATACCAGCGCACGCCCGATGCGGGTGAGTGTTGCACATGCGGAAGTAAACATACAGATATATACATATACGTATCGCTGGCTATTTATAAATCCACCACAGATGCGTATCCCACAGAGCCGCCGCATGTCTATGTTGCGCCCGAACTGACCGACGCGGGCAAGGTGCAGTTGCTGCATTTGCCCAGCGGCGCGGTGCGCGTCAATTCCACGATTAGTTTCGTCATCAAGCGCAATGGGGTGAAGGGCAATTTCGATGTGCGCCTCGAGACACCCAGCGGGCAGCACGGAGCGCCACTGCAGCTGACGCAGCTGGATCCGGAACGCTTTCAGGTGGAATGTCAGCTGACACAGGCGGGCCTCTATAAGGTGCACATCAAGTGCAATTCCGTGCCGTTGCCCAAGTCGCCCTACATTATAGTCACCATAGCTGGAGTACCGACACCAATTGAGGATGGGAAGGAACATGCAGCTACCAATCCATCAAGTGAGTGTCCCATATATTCAAGTGTTCACAATTCTCATATATGTACATATGCTATGCAGTGCCCCACTTCGAATCCGATGCGAGCAAAGTACATAGTCGGGGCCTGGGTCTGACCCATGTCAATCTGCTCGAGCGGAACGAGTTCACGGTGGATGCCAGCTCTGCCGGCATTAATATGCTATTTGTGGGCATTCTGGGCCCACAGGGACCATGTGATGAGGTGCTGGTCAAGCACCTGGGCCGGCATGTATACCGTGTCGCGTACCAGGTGCGGGAACCCGGCGACTACATTCTGGTGGTCAAGTGGGGTGAACAACACATTCCAGGATCACCCTTTAGTCTCTGTGCCGAGTAACTGGAAGCACGCAAAGCAGGCTTGGAACTGATCCGGTTTTAGCTCGGCAACTATTTCTGGGTGACATTTTGGCTAAGTATACAGTGTAGTGTTTATATACATATTACAATTATTGCATAAACTATGTTATTTCATAAATTTTAATACTAATGAATTCCCAATCAAATTAATAGTTGTAATTACAACTTTATCCAATCCATTAGCTTCATTGATGACGAACTCCGCTGACGAACGAAATCGTTGACTCGCATCGTGAACCGAGCCATTGGCAGCTCTTTGTTTTTGTTGAGTTGCCATTCAAAATACTATGTCAATGGCTCATCCACCAGTTGCCTGTTGCGGGAAGCGTACTCCGCGGCTAAAGTTCATTCTATGTGCAATCTAATGATGATTACCAACACTGATGACGACGACAACTAAACGAAAGAGCAACATTATCATTTTTTGTTATTTAGCCGACGCTAATGACGTTCGCATTTAGTATATGTGCTAGGCAGGCAGGCAGTGAGGGGAGTGGCATGGCATCCAACCTAATGATGATGACTGCCGTACGTCGCATACGAACGTGCGTGTGTGTGTGTGTGCTTGTATGCGCGCCAACAATAGCAGTTGCCTATCATAGTGTTAGTGCCTGGGAGGGGGAGTACACAAAAGGTTGCCACAGTCGCAGTTGATGATGATGATAATGCGTTTGCTTTGCTCGCCTTAACGAGCTGCTGCTGCCGACTGGCGCGCTTAAGATAAATTACGTGGTCATGCTCATGACTGGAATCAAGCTAGAGCGCATCGCAAAAATCATTACTCATTGAGCTTGCTGTAGGCGTGGCTGTACTATATATGTACGTATGATAACAGCGTATTAGGTTGATTGGCATATTGTTTGTGTTCGTCTTTGAAATTAAACTTGGCACATTTCAACATGCACATGCACACAAATGTTATTTTGAATATTTTGCACAAAACACAATCGGGGTGGCAACGCTGCGCAGTTTCTAGGCACACTAGCTGCGCTGCTCACACCATGTTGCGCGCGCTATCGCTGTCTCGCTTGTAGAACATCATTATGGCCGTGTTGTGTCTTGCCATCATTAGTGTTGGTAAATATCTCGAGCTGAGCTGCTAACTACGTTTTCCGTGTGTGTGTTCTTGAACATAATTAAAATTAAATTATTTAACTTATTATTAAGTTTTGGATTTGGCGTGTTGTGCTTGTTGTATTTGTATCACTGTTTGCGCGACCAGCTGCTGCTCATGCTCGGCTCATGAGCATTGAACTTACGATTGCCGTAATCGAATGAAAAGTATGTACCTGTGCGTGTGTGTGTGTGTATCTGTATCTTCATTCTTTGCAAAGGGAAAAAACTGTTGTAGTTGTACGCGTGTGTGTATTCAAGAAAAGTAACCATCTCTTGCCCCCACGGGCAACAACAAAATATTCGTATTGTTGTTGTTTCAGCTGCTGCTGCTGTTGGCCCCATCAACTGCGGGCCAGCAAGTGCCAATGTAGCGGCAACGTCGACATCGTCGTCATTCTTGCTGCCGCTGCCGCCGCTGCTGTTGTCGCTGCTGTTGCTGTAGCATCTTCATTTGGCCGCAGCTTTTGTATACTTGAAATACCGCTTCAGTACAATTTGAGTTGCCGTCGCGTTAGCTTCTACTTATTTGTTGTCTCGTGCCCGCTACGCGTGCTTTTACACCTTGCATTTCGTCTTTTGTTTACCAGCATTAAGCTTAGCATGTGAGTGTGAGTGTGTGATTATGTGCCGGTGTACAGCTTAATGATAATCTAATACTCTTAATTATGTGCAACACATGCGTGAGTGTTTATGCATGTGTGTGCGTGTGTGTGTGCACAATTGTAGAGAGCTGCCAGATTTTTGTGTTTTCATGTGCCAAAAACCATATATAAACATAATTATTTAAAATTCATTATTAGAACCATAATCATTATCACTCAAACAGGTGCCGTCAATTATTCCATGAAATTATATTAGCCGCTGGTTCAGCTTCATAGTTACATACATATACATACATAGTATAAAATACTTTATTTGCTGTCGGGCAAAATGTGAAACCTTTCTTGATAATTTATCTATAAAAGTAATTCAATGATATCAGGTGCGCGCGCTTAAAGTAAACATACTGTGTGCCACTAAAGTCACCGTACTCTTGTTGTATTTTCGCGAATCACCCTGAAAC